GACACGGGGTGCCGGGGGCGGCCCCTCCGCTGCCGGCAGATACGCTCTGCTCTCTATAATGCCTGCGGTCTGTCGGGAGGGTTCTTGGGTAGGACAAGGCAGACCTGGCTGGGCAAAGCACATCCCTGCCATCGCATCCCTTTTCCGTGATGTCAGCGGGAGAAAGGGCTGCAGGAAAGGGGGGGAAAGAAACTGTTTGGATAATCTTGTAAAGCGAAATACTGTGCTTTAGATAGATGGCACGTGTGCTTTTCTGTCTGTGCCATATGGCTGAATCCGTAGCAGGAGTACAGCACCCAACTCTAGGCTTCTGAAAAGCACATCCCTGCCATCGCATCCCTTTTCCGTGATGTCAGCGGGAGAAAGGGCTGCAGGAAAGGGGGGGAAAGAAACTGTTTGGATAATCTTGTAAAGCGAAATACTGTGCTTTAGATAGATGGCACGTGTGCTTTTCTGTCTGTGCCATATGGCTGAATCCGTAGCAGGAGTACAGCACCCAACTCTAGGCTTCTGAGTCCAGTCTCCGGTGGTCCTGGCCTGACTCTATAGGTATCCGAACGCTCCGGGTCACAAGTGCGTAAAGGTGTCCGTTAGCCTGAGCAAACCTGCCTGTCACTCCCTGACACCAACTGTGCAGCCGCCGTGCGCTGCATGAGAGGCGTGCAGGCAGCCACGCTTGGAGCGCTCCTGCTCTTCTCCTGCCCCACTCTCCTGTGCGTCCTCACTGACCCTGTGGCATCAGGAGAGGAGAAGGAAGGGCCACCTTCAGCTGAGCATCAAGGCCAGTGGGATAAACCATGGAGGTCTGTTTGCAAATGTTTGTATTCTTCCTATAGTAAGTCTCAGACCCTGCTCTTGATATCCTCCTCTGATTGCTTCCAGGGCAATAACTGAACCTCTCCTGTTTCCGTGAGAAGGAATCACGTCAGAGAGCATTTGCTGAAAGAGCCAGAAAAACGGGAGTTAGATCTCCTGTTTACAGCAAGGGGAGGCTTAACTGAGGTACACTCTGGTGCAGGTCAAAGCAGGTCTCCAGCACGCGTAGGAGAAGGAATAGGAACAGCAGTGGCTGTAGTGAAGCCGAGAGGAAGACTGACTCCAGGGAGCCGCATGTGTTTTGCCAAGGGCATGGGCACCTGGACCCCCCACCTTGCACACAAGGAGAGCACTGGCATGTGCTGCCTTTGAACATTGATGAAGCCAGCGGGCAAGAGTCGTGCAGGGGCTAGCGTGGTCGGGGCTCCTGCTAGCCAAGACGGCCTCATATTTCAGGATCTCCAGCGTGGCAAAACTGGAAACCAGTGGGAGAGAAGCATCTGTCAGGCCTGGCAGAGCCAGCTACTAGCTGAGGCAACAGGTCAAAGAGTGTGCTTCTTACCATGCAATCTCCCGCTCACACAGCAAAACATTTTCTTGATGGCACGAGCTGTTTGGGTCACAGGACCCCAGTGTGCCACTGGCTTGTGACTTGAACTAGCTTGGCCCCACTTGTCTATGCATTCATTTCTCCCTCTGCTCTTTTTACCACATTTGATTTTTGTTTTTAAATACCATTGAGTGGCTTTTATTCATCAGTTAATACTGGAGCAGTTCAGTGACAGAGTCCCCCTGAAAATGACTGTCCCGTCAACCTTCTAGGTTTTCAGTGAGCATAAGCCCATATTGCTAGAGAAAGCCATAGTAGTTTGAATGCCCACACAGGTATTGAAGAGGCAGTTTTGCTGCAGTTTTCTTCTTCCAGCACTGAATGATCTTGATGTGAGCCCACCATTGACAGCACATTATTTGCTCGATGCCCTGCCCTGGGAGATCACCGTCTCCCTGACTTTGTGTGGTCAGTGCTTGTCCTGTAGCTGACCTGTAAGCAAGTCAGCAGAGAGATGTAGCCATCCTACCATGAGAAAGCTCCTGTGGCTCCATGTGGCCTTCAGCAGTTGGGAAGCAAGGACTTACACCACCACAGAGGTTTAAAGCAGTGGCCCATGCTGCTGTCCTGCACGGTGGTTTGATGCTGCCTTGATGTTGTTCCCTTCTTCCCTTGCCATCTTGTACTCTTCTAACCAGCCTGTAGTAGCCCTGAGAAAGAGAGCTGAGCTGTCAAGGGAGAACTGCCCTCCAGCATGTCAGGCTGTCTTGCCCAGAGGCAGGTACTGTCCCTTGCTTCCAGAATTAGATATACCCATCCGGTGTATCATTTGTGCCTGAAATGCCACAAATTTAGCAGACTTTCTGAACTGACCGTGCACCCTGCTGGCTAAATTTGATGTCTTTGGTGCAAGAAAAGCTGGCTAAGGTACCTAGGAGAGAGAGGGAGAGCTAGCTTCAAATTCATCTTTTGTCCAGCCTGGAGCAAGGTTAGAAACCCCAGTCTGTCAAGTGAGCGAGCAGATTTCTGGAGGCATTTTCTGTGCCACCTTTCTGATAGCGCTTACACCACTTGTGGGCAGAGAACAGGTGCACTGAATGGAGCAGGGACTGCACCTCAGGTCGTCTGGGTGAGTACTGTAGCTCTGGATTTGCTATAACA